CATCTATTCATTCAACAAAATTTATTGAGCATCAACTATATCCCAGCACTTTGCAAGGTGGTAAGGGTACAAACATAATTATGGTCCCTCAAGAAACTCAGTCTGGTTGGGGCAACCAACCCATAAGGAAACAATACCACAGAGTGTCTTAAGGATATTTTGAAAGATAGTAATTATTTCTCAGCCAAAAGGACAGGGGCTGGTGGAGTTAGGGAGACCTCATAGGGGTGTGATGCTTGGGTCAAGGATGAGCAGATATTTGTTCAGCAGGGAGTGGGAAAGGGGAAAAGACTGTCCAGGCAGAAAGAGCAGCACAGCAAAGACACTGGGAAAGAGCACAGCACATCCAGATACCTGGGAGTAGTTCAGCATGGCTTTGGTGATAGGGTCAGGTAATTGCTTTTCTTTTTTTGTTTGAGACAGAATCTCGCTTTGTTGCCCAGGCTAGAGTGAGTGCCGTGTCGTCAGCCTAGCTCACAGCAACCTCAAACTCCTGGACTCAAGGCGATCCTCCTGCCTCAGCCTCCTGAGTAGCTGGGACTACAGGCATGTGCCACCATGCTCGGCTGATTTTTTCTATATATATTAGTTGGCCAATTAATTTCTTTCTATTTATAGTAGAGACAGGGTCTCGCTCTTGCTCAGGCTGGTTTCGAACTCCTGACCTCGAGCAATCTGCCCGCCTCGGCCTCCCAGAGTGCTAGGATTACAGGCGTGAGCCACCTCACAGGTGTGAGTTGCTTTTCAATGAGACCAGAATAGAGGAGAGGTGGTCTCCATTTTGGTGAAAAGATGATGGATTTGGTTTTGGATGTGATATTTTAGGGCCTGAGGGCCTCTAGGAAGAGGTCCCCAGCAGGCATTTTCAGGACTGCCTGTAGACCTGAGTAAAGGAGGGGCTGCCTTAGCTTCCCTGAGGGCCCTGCTCTGGCCTTCCTCCAAATACACCCCGCCATGCAGGCCAAGGGGACTTCCTCACCCAGGGCCACACTCCACCACCCCTTCTAGATGACTCCAGCTCCCCAGGATCACAGAATTCCTTGCTCAGACAGCCCAGAGCCTGCTTCCAGCACCTGTGTAGGCTTCCTACTCGGGTCCACTCTCCTAGGAATGTGTACCCCAGAGGGGCAGTCTGCTCTGGAGAGTGGACCTGAGGATGATGATGATGATGGGGGTGGTAATGATGATGTCTCTGTTCCTCTGGGTTTCTTTTCTCTGCCTCAAATACCCTTTTCCTCTTTCTTCACCTCTATTCAAATTCCTGGGGATCACATTCTATAGGAAGTCCCCCCCCTTGCCTATCAGGTTGCCCTGATATGCTTCCATGCTCTACTGTGCTCTACTATGCTCATCTTTATCTCAGCACATTTATAGCACAAAATACGCTACTGTTAGTTATTGAATAAGTGGTAATGGTTTCTCAAGTGACTAATCACCCTGGTTTGCCTGGAACTGCTTGGTTTTGGCACTGAAAGTCTAGCATCCCTGGAAACTCTTCAGTCCTAGACAAACCCAGGAGGTTGGTCACCCTAAATTGACATTTCCATTTTTCTGAATGAGCAAATAAATGAAAGGCAGTATGTCAATATCAAAACGTAAGGCCCCCAACTTTTCCTGTGTGTATGTGAGCATAAGCCCATTCAAGGTGTCTGGAGGAGTCAGCTCTTTCCCTATACTCTTCAACTCTTGTCACAGCAAAACATGACCAGGCTGGATTCCTGTCCCAGTTCTGTTTTATCTCATAATCCTGGAAGAAGAATAGCTTAACTTTCTCAACCAGGGTTCCTTATTTGAACCATAGAACAAGAAAATGATTTCAGTACTATTTTCTCAATTCTCTCAAGGTTGGTATATATATAACTAGTACCATTCAGAAGCATAAGAGAGAAGTTGATTCATTACATAATTCGATACCTTAGGACATTTAGGGCTTATCTCTTTCACCTGTTAAGAAACTCATAGGCCCTATGTTCAAGAATGCTACTGTAAGTCCCTCTACTCTTGTTCATTAGTACAACTGGCTGGAGGGGGAAGCTATGGGAAGGAAGCATCAAAGGATAGGGCTCTCTGATCTGCAAATTGAGGAAGAGGTCTGGACAGGAAGTGCAGTCTCATTTTCCCAAGATGAGCAAAGGTAAAGAGCTGTAAGATCTTACCAGTTGGGAGGGGAACAGAGAAAGACAACCACCTTCTAGGCCTTGACGTGGTGGTTGTCACCAACTTTGCTTCTCAGCTGGCAACTGCCAAAGTCAGGCAGCAAGCACTGTATGTCATCTTGTGGAAGACAAATGCTCTATAAATAAGTTGGCTTGGAACAGTCTCAAATATGCATAAACCACAATGGCTTCAAATGTAACTCTTGAATTTTTTCTCATTTTCTTTCTCTTCTTGGAGAGGTCAGCAAGGAAGTTTCTGCAAGAGAAGTCTTACTGAAATTCAACCTAGGAAACCTGGAAGAACTTTTACGTACTTCTGTAGCAAATATATTTCATTTTCAGATATTTGTTAAAAAGCTCCTACATCCAACACATAAATCTCTGAACATGCACCTGTATATTAGACATAAGGACGTACTTGTTACACGTGATTCATCATTCTTTTTAAAAATTCATTTTCTAGAGGAGGTGATTATTCATTTTGCCATTCAATTTCCCATCATTAAAAATTTCATGCAGTAAAATCACTGCATACTAATGGGATACTGTGTAAAGAGAGAATATTTTTAGTGACTAAGCTGAAAGTAAAGATCATCGATGGCTCTTCCATCTGAGGATGTCAGGAGGAATCAGAGACAAATTTCTGAGGAATGCGGAGTAATGGAATGGTAGCCTTAGGGCTCCATTTTCAGCTCAGATTCTGAAGCAGAGGTGCCCACTTTTAAGTAACATTATATCTCAGTGGTATTTCATTTGTAGGATAAAGGTAATTAAATCTCCTTTTCCCCACCATCATTACATCACCACATTAGCAAGAACAATAGAAGCACAGGGTCCTGAGTTTTTGTTGAATGGTCATTCATCCAAAAGGAAGGTCACAGGGTTGCCAATGCTAATTGGAAAAGCATTTAATGTCTGGTTTGCATGACTGAAAGAAAGAGGGCCCATCTCTGGCCTAGAAAAAAACAAAACAAAACTTTTGATGGTGTGAGAAAATGTCTAACTTGGCTAAAGAAGGTTAAATTCCACTGAAACCTTCAGACAGCTGTTAGAGAGCATCAGAAATAGTCTTGCTGGGCGGAAAAATATTCTGAAGAGAGACTTCTTCTCAGTAGGCAAGATTTTACCTTGGCTTGCTAAAAAATGTTCACTAGGTTTCAAGGGTCCACACACCTGTGCTTTTTACTGTGAAATGTTAAAGCCTTGACATGGCCTAAGATGATTCTTTCTGTGCTGTGATTGTACCAACATGTAAACCTTCTTGAGATTCTGCATTCTTGAGGAACTGCATTTTGGGCATTAAATCTTATTTCTCTCTAACTCCCCAGTGTCCTCTCTCCCTAAGGCAGCTGGCCATCTACTTTGGGCTCTAGTTATGCCTAACCTCCATCATGCCATACAGCTGCACACCTCTGGGCCTTTACTATTATTTCCTTCACCTAGAACTTGCTTCCTTCTTTCTTCCCTGCCTTTTCTTAGCCTGTTTATCATGACTTAATTTAGGAGTCATCTTCTCTAGGAACCCTTTCTGGCATCTCTATTCTGAGCCAAAGTCCTCACCTCTGCACCTTGTAAGCCCCCTCTATGGTAACAATTACACTATATTTAAATTGAGTTCACATAGTAGCTGTTCATGATGTGCTTGTTAAATATTCCAGGTTATGCATATCCTTGCTTATTTTTGGTGGGACCAAGGAACTAATTTTTATGTGGTTTTAAAAATATCTATTTAAATCTGGTTAGAGACCCAAAAAGGGTAAATTCACTATGAAGGGGAAGGCAAGTGTTGGGGGCCTACCCTGTGTCAGGTACCTTAATATTTTATATTAACTCCAATCTTCACATAATTCTAATTCTTACAATAGTCTCTCCAGATAAGTCTTTTCGCTTCCATTTTACAAGTGAGGCCAAAGATCCAGTGATTCTTCCAAGGTCATACATCTAAGACAGAGACCCACCAAGACTCATATCCAGGTCTGACTTCAAGCTAGAACCCTATCATTCCACAATAATCAAGGGACTGTTTGGAGAGTCCTATCCCACAAAATCTTGGAGACTGTGTTTTTGAGTGACTTTTCTGGTAAGTTACTCCTGCCAAGGAAGGCGAAGGGGAAGTATAAACGGAAGACCCTTTTAGATTAGTCAGCTGAGCAGCTGCAGTCGCCCTTGCCCAGATCTCCATGGGTTCTGTGAGGAAGCGAAATGGAAAATGTGTGGCTCCCAGGAGGCCCAAACACTACGTTTGAGAAGCTGAACGCGAGATACGCGTTTATTGGGAGTCTCTCAGCTTCATTCTTTATCAGCTCAAGGTGTTTTCGTCTAGTCTTCAATAAGGGGCGGGAAAGAATCTCTGTGAGTGTGCCAGGGAAAGATTTGTGGAAGAGAAAGGTCCTCCAGCCAAGCGCAAAGTAGGCGACTCTGCCGCCTGGCGCAGTTGCCAGGACAGCGCTGCCGGAGCAGCAACGGCAGAAGCCGCACCGAGTCCTGGTGGCGGCGGCGGCGGCGGCGGCGGCGGCGGCTGCGAGCCCGAGTGACGCATTGCAGGTACGAACCAGCCAATCAGAGCCCGGCTCAACGACCATCGGTGACGCGTCCTCACCGCGATGCTCCTCCGCGCCGCAAAGTAGCGCCCCTCAGGCGCGACTTTACCGACCTTTTAACGGCTCTCTGGGGAATGAAACCCTCTTACGTCATCCGTTTGCCCACTTTCCTTTATCTCATGCCTCGTCGACCAAATAGCTGTGAATAACAGGGTCCCCAGAAGAGTTTGAGGGGAGGAGGTTGGCCGGGACTCGTTTGCGACGTTCCGTTATCTGGGGTGCGGCGGAGGGATCTGACGGAGGGAGGTGTTTATGAAGCGCTGGGGGCGGAGGAGGAGAATTAGTCCGAGTGGAGCTAGCGAGCCGAGTGGTTGTGTGGTCGCGTCTCGGAAACCAGTAGCGCTTGCAGCATGGTGAGTGCGTCGCTAAGCTGCCGGCGCTTGGCCTGTGGGGGAAAGAGGCCGAAGCGAATTGACTAGAGAAAGGGAATTCGCCTCCTTCACACCTTTAGGGAGTGGTTTTCGCCAAAGGCATGGCGCGAAAGAGGCCGGGGGCGCCTGTGACGGTTGTGTCGCAGGTGCTCCCCACCCCCATTCTCCTCAGGGGGGCTTCCTCTGGTGAACTGAGGGCCGGACGCACAGGTCCCTTCGGGGCTCGGCCGGAGCGTGGGTGAGGGAGAGGGTGCAGCCCCGCACATGGGGAGGTAGGGAGGGGAGAGGGAGCGCGGAGAGCCTCCGGTCGGCTGTCGCGAAAGGTCAAGCCGGAGGCCGGATTCAAACACCCAACGGACGGTTAGTGCGGGCGCCAGGAAGCGCCTTTGTCCGCTTGCGCCCGCCATGCGCCGAGGGGGCGGGAGGAGCGCGCGGGGCCCCGGGGCGAGCGCCGGCGCCGCCGTTAGCCCGCGTGCCGGGGTCTGGGGGGCGCGCGGGCGGCGCGCTGTGTGGCCGAGCCCGCCGCGGCGCAGGGAGCGCCGGTGGGGCGGGGCAGCGCGAGCCCGCGCGGGGCCGGGAGCCGCCGCCCCGCTCGGCTCCGCTCGCGCCCCAGCTGCTGCGCTGGCACCTGCAGGACTGCGGAGGTCTCCGGGGCGCTGCGGGGCGGGTCTTGGGCGTGGGTGGGGGAGGGTCCCGGACAGTTTCCTGTGCCCCTCTGGCAACCCAGATCTTTCTACTCCATCTGGGGCCCTCTTCCACCACCCTGGCTGCATGTTTAAAACATTTTTTTTTTTATTTAAATTGGCTTTGTTGTTGAAGGAAATGAGTTTTATGTCTGAAGTCGGGCGCTTCCTCGCAGTTCACATATCTTTAGGGAAAGTATTGGGCTCTAGCTAGGGTTCGAAAGGCGCCTTCTGTTAACCACGGAGCGAAAGCAAGCTCTGGGGTGACTACCACTATTGGATGGATCCCTTTGTAAAGAACCATTGTCTATATCCTATTCTCGACAACTTAAAACCACTACCACGTACAGCATCTCGCCCTTTTGAAAATGACTCAGATTTCAGTATAGAAATTGACAGATCTCAAAACACAGTTCAATTTATTTGTACAGTAGTGACTGTCAAATACTGTAGAGGTAGAAGAGTGTATGGGGGGAGCTGGGAATTTTGAGAAGCATTTGCTTATCCCCTAAAGACTGGAAATCATGCTCTTTCCGTTCAAAAAAAAAAAAACTAATGAGGGCGATAATTTGCGATACTTTGTGCTTCTTTCTGCCAAGTGGTTACAACGATGGGTGTGTCCGTGAGGCAAGGTGACATCTTAAACAGGAGTTGGGGATTCTTGCCAACTGAAACCTCCAGCCTGTATGGGTGTGGGGAGAGGAGTTCACCTTGGACAAAACTGGCGTTCATTTAAGTTTGATGGATTCACTCCATCTTTATATTTTAAATCATGTTACTCTGAATTTTGCATATGCTGGTGGAATTTGCTCAATCTTTAAGATGTACTTTATAGGTAATCAACAGTCCAATTTATGGAGAAAGCCTTTAAGAAAATTTATATGAAGCGTAAGGCCTTTTCATCATTTCTGATAATTGAATCAAGAACTCCAGTAGATATTCTGGGTAATGTATAGTTTGTATCTAAATGCTTTTATAGCATTATTGTTGCTTTGGGGGTTTTTGGTTAAATTGACAGTCATCATTAATAATTTGAAAATGGTCCTGAGGTAACTTCATAATTAGAGATTTTGAACTAGGACTACATCAGGTTAAATAATAAAAATTTATTTGATATAGAAGTAGAATAAGATGGCTCATGTAGTTCTTGGTCTTAAATGTAGTCAGTGCTCACTGAATTAAGGAAGATTAGTAAAAGATTGTGAAGAGGTAGAAGATTTTGTCACTTGAGTCTAAATTTTATTAAGCTGCAAGGTCTCCTATTAGTCTCAGAAAATCAAAGAATTAGCTATGGTTCTATTAAAATATAGAAAGTTCTAGCTTCAGCTAGAATTTAGGCCTTTAGTAAAGGCCTTAATTTTTATGAAGCCGTTTTATTTTAGTGTTTTCTAAAAATTTGGTCCAAGATGCTATGTAGTAAGTGCTGGTCTGTCAGAATTAAGGCTATCTTTTCACCCTAATGCTTTTGATATAGACAGAACAAATACCCTGACCTGTAGGAAAAACTTCACATATGAAGCCTTTGTTGTATCTAAGAAGCACTAGTGGGGAATGATCAGTCAGGAACAGATGAAGGATAGCAGTTTGTGTTTCATTGCAAGCCTATGGACTCATACATTGTGTCAGTTAAGAACTTAAGTTATTTTTTTTTTTACCGCCTTTCATTAGATAAAGTATTTATACCTACTTTTGAATACAATGCCATTAGGAAATGTTTGATAGGTACATAATGTATTCACTTCGGGTCACTTATGTAATACAGATTAGTACTTCTCAGTGTTATGGATCACCTGTGTCTCTCCAAAATGCAGATTCTAGTTCACTAGGTCTGGTGGAACCTAGAAAGTATGCTAATGCCTAGAAGCCTTCTTTGGAGTGACAAAAGCAGTAGGAAGGATTATATCAGCTGCAGAAATAAGGAAGTGAGAACTAGTTATCTCTCTAGTGAATTAATCTCCACTTTACTGAGATAAACATATTAATGAGCTTGAGTTTTCCCAAAAGTATAATTCTTCTGATTATGAAAATGGCACTCTCCATAGACAGAAGGAAGAGCCAAATTTATTTGTACAGTAGTTGGAAAAGTTAAAGTTAGGAAGTTGTTACTTTTAGCAGACTTTAATCTGAATGTTGCTGGTAAAGTTTATTTTGAAACTTGAAGTCGGGATAAGTAGTAAATACAAAAACTTCTCAGCCTTCCAAGCAAAATTGAGAGCTTCAGGTTATGTGAGTAACTTAGTCTTTTATGTGTTTAGTTCATTTTTATAATATGTTCTGAGATTGCATTTGCTTGGAGCCAGACAAGATGAGATCCTTAAATTTTGACTTTGCAAGTGAAATTGGACAATTTTAAAGTTTCTTTTATTGCTAACATACCTGTTTTTTCCTAAGGCCTTTTCATCTTTCGTGTATATGAGGCTTCCCAAAAATCTTCCCCCCACAATGTTGAGAGAACAATCCTGACTCCATTCCTGTACATAGCAATCATTCCTTTAACTTCCACAGGTGCTGCAGAGCTCAAAATTTTTGTCTTAAACTGATTTTACCTGCTGCATCCTTCACATGCCACATCTGTCCCTGGTTTCAGTTTGCACAAATTTTCTCAGCTTTATTAAAGTAAACAAAGTTAACATTGAACAGGATAGGTTTGGTGTAAAGGGCTTGATAATGCCATACATGCCTACCTTCTGTGTGGAAATTGTGCTAGTCAGGTTGATATTTAATAGTGCAAGTTCTTTAGTTAATTTATATAAAAATAATAGTTGCCATTTAACTCTTTCTGTTAGCTTTTTACATAGCATTTCACTTTGCACAATAGCCCTGCAAAGGTAGGTATTGTATTCTTGTGTTATAGATAAAGTTGACTATGAAAGGTTGAGTAACATGTGTAAGGTCACACAGCTATTTAAGAGACAGAGCTGGGATACCAGCCTAACTGTGACTCAGAACTTTGTGCTTTTTCCTCACCATGCCATTCCTTCAGAAATGTGATGGGAGTCCTGCAAAATGCAATCAGACTAGAAGTAAATCCTCTGTAGCTTCTGTTATAAGAAAGTAAACATTTGACTCAGTGAATTTGCTGGATTTTAAATCTATTCATAGGGAAAACAATCTATAACTGACTTTACACCAAAAATCTGTTGGTGGAGGGTTGGGATTTGTAAGGGTAAAAGTAGATATATATATATATATTTTTTTTTTTTTTTGAGACAGAGTCTCACTTGTTGCCCAGGCTAGAGTGCTGTGGCGTCAGCCTAGCTCACAGCAACCTCAAACTCCTGGGTTCAAGCAATCCTCCTGCCTCAGCCTCCTGAGTAGCTGGGACTACAGGCATGCGCCACCATGCCCGGCTAATTTTATATATATATATGTTAGTTGGCCAATTAATTTCTTTCTATTTATAGTAGAGACGGGGTCTTGCTCTTGCTCAGGCTAGTTTCGAACTCCTGACCTTGAGCAGTAGATATATTTTAATCTTATAAACTTCTGCATTTGAACTTAATCATTGGCTTTTCAATTTTAACTTTCCAGCTTTTTGGCTTATTAAAAAAGTAAAAGTGAATTCAGTTGATAACTGTGGTCAAATCAAAATTGTTGAACATGGAAGAGAAACTTGTTTCTGGGTTCCTTCTCAAGTTTTCTCATGTTGTACCCTAGAGAAAATGTGAGGCCATTTCACTTTCAAGTGTGAACTTTCCCCAGGGGTGTGTTCATTTAAAAAGAGTGAAACTAGGCAATATCTATTTTTCTTTCCCCTATGAAAAAATGAAAGGATTAAGTATAGTGCACTTGACTCTATGTTGGTAGGGATTTCAGATAGTCTGTTTCTTGGCAGTGTCCTTGGGTACGACATAAGCAGTTGCTTTATGGATGTATGTACTAATAAGCAGTGAAACATTAAAAGATGAAGGCCACCAGAACAAGGAGCCCAGAGATATTTTGGTGCTCAAAATTAAAAGCGTAAAGTTACTGGGTATGTCTGACACTTTAATGCTTAATCCTGGTTCTGTTGATTGCTAATTTTTTTTTTTTTTTAAGAACATGTTCTGTAATAAATTGCTAATTTTATGCCCTCCGCCTCCCCCATTTAACCCAAGCCTCTCTTCCCATCTGTAAAATAGGGGCTGATAATACCATTATAGGGTTAGTGTGAAGGTTGAATAAAGATAACATTTATAATGGGTTTTAGCATAAGACTAAAAATATTTTTTAAAGCAAAGTCAAGTGCTCTCCTTGTGCTATAAAAACATGACAAACCTTAGATTTACTTTGGGATTTCAAAAATAAAGAGAAAATGGATCACCGAACTTAATATTTGGTAAATATTGAAGTTCAGATATTTGGAACCCTGGATTCTTTGCATTTGCCTGTCACGTAAGAAGTAGTAAAAGCTAGCCACTCTTTTTATGCTTCAAAAGTATTGTGAAACAATTTGTGTATCTTAAACTTGGAGTCAGGACAGCTCAGCTTGACATATTTTTACTCACCTGTGTTTGTTGCTTTATACTAAGGAATGTTGAACTTACTGAAAGTTGTACATGCTGAACCTTGAAAGTTTTTAAACTTGTTTCTGTAACTGCTAATCTAGATATTCCCAAATTATTTACATATCTCTTTGATCTCTTTGTAGGCTGACCAACTGACTGAAGAGCAGATTGCAGGTGAGAAATACTTTGTTAGATTGTACCAGTTGGATTTAATATAAATTGAATAACCTCAGAATAAGGTGTATGAAAGAATTCACTTGATGAATGTATGTGGTAGGTACTGACAAATGGGTGTAATGTAATACAGTAATTCAACCTGCTTTGGCCAGGTGATAATGTCAACAAGATGTGTGGGGCTAACTGCAATTAAAGACATGTGTTAATATTTTAGTCTATGTGGATACTTTTTGGAGCCTGGTGGTGTAGTGGTAGTCTTTTTTTTTTTTTCCCTCTGTGTGAGTGTGTGTGTGAGAGAAGAATACCATACTATATAAAACAGGGATTCTGGGGTAGTTAACACTGCAACTCCACATCAGTCCCCACATGAAAAGGAGGGGCAGGAAGTAACTAAGGTAACTTGAAACATGGAGAGAAAATGAACATTCAATTTACCCTAGTTTAAATTGGCTAATATTTTAACCTTAGAATTGCTTATATAATTAGGGAAAAAAACATTGTTTTAATGAAAAACTTAGATTCAAAAGTTAGCATTCTCTTTTATAGATGTTGCTGTACTAATTTGAATTTGGTCTTAAAAAGTAGTAACAGCTATTGAAATGAAGCTTCTTAAATTTTGTCTCCTTTAGTTTGCTATGGAAATAATGTGAAATTATTGCATAAAATCCCACGTCAGGTTGTCTTCATGCCGTGCCATGTGAACATTAGTACTTTTGATTTTATTCTGATACTTTGAGATGGCTGGTTAATGTCAAAATGTTGGAGAAACATTACATTTTTCTTTTTTGAATTAATTGCACTGTTGACATACTTCTCAAACTATTCTTTTCCTTTCATTAGAGACTTACTAGCATGAGCACCAAGCAGTTTAACTGCCATAGTTTTCCCAGTAAGCAAGGAGTTTGATAAGAGTGCAAAAGCTTGAGCATTTTTAAAAAAATGCTGTAGAAAACTGAGAAGCCCTGTTGGAAGTCAATTATACAGCCTATTGAAAGCATGCTCCCTGCCTCCATAAATATAAAAATTTGGAAGATACCAGAAATGACGTCTTTTCAAATATTCATCACAAATGTTTGATACAACTGTATAAAGTAGAAAGCTATTGATATTAAGGACCAAATTTAAGGGGGTTTTATTTTTCTTATTGGGTAATTTGGCTTAAACCTGCGATTTACCTTCTGGGATTGGTAATTAGATGTATTGAGTGTTGAAGCAATCAGAGCTTCAGAAATATTTTTTTTTGTTGTTATACCACTTTTAAATGTATCAATGAAATGTGAATTTTTTGGAAATAGTTTTTTATGTAGTGTCTCTTTCACAAATGAGCTCAGGCTGTCTAATAGTTTCAGTCTTTTTTTTTTTTTGAGACAGAGTCTCACTTTGTTGCCCAGGCTAGAGTGAGTGCCATGGTGTCAGCCTATCTTACAGCAACCTCAAACTCCTGGGCTCTAGCAATCCTGCCTCAGCCTCCCAAGTAGCTGGGATTACAGGCATGTGCCATCATGACTGGCTAATTTTTTCTATATATATTAGTTGGCCAATTAATTTCTTTGTTTAAAGTAGAGACGGGCTCTTGCTCAGGCTGGTTTCAAACTCCTAACCTGGAACAATCCTCCCGCCTTGACCTCCCAGAGTGCTAGGATTACAGGTGTGAGCCACCACGCCCACCTTTTTTTTTTTTTTTTTGGAGACAGAGTCTCACTTTGTTGCCCAGGCTAGAGTGAGTGCTGTGGCATCAGCCTAGCTCACAGCAACCTCAAACTCCTGGGCTCAGGCGATCTTACTGCCTCAGCCTCCTGAGTAGCTGGCAGGCATGCGCCACCATGCCCAGCTAATTTTTTTGTATATATATTTTTAGTTGGCCAATTAATTTCGTTGTATTTTTAGTAGAGAAAGGGTCTCTCTCAGGCTGGTTTCGAACTCCTGACCTCGAGCAATCTGCCCTCCTCGGCCTCCCAGAGTGCTAGGATTACAGGCATGAGCCACCATGCCCTGACCTCAGTCTTAAACTCTGACCTTCTCTGATACACTTTTCATTTCTAAGTATTCTCAATCAGGTAGTTAGTTACACCTACTGTACACAGCACAGCACGTTCACTTTAGGGTAGCACATGTGTTTAATCAAGGTGCCTCTTTCATAGTTAATAGTCATTTAATGCCTTCCTAAACACACAACACTTTTTACGAGGATCAGTCTTCAACGACTGATAATATTTCTATGAAGAATACTTGTAGTTCATCAGAACAATGTCTTTAAGGTAAATTGTCTTTTCATTGGCTCCCATCGTAAAATTAGGTTTCTAATGGGAGTGGGGAAAAAAAATCTGTTCTTATGTTCTCTCCTTACCCCTCCTTTTCCTAGATCACAGATTTCTTTAAAGAGCCATTCCTCGGAGTCCAGGCTTTAGTTAACAACTAGGGTGGAGGAACCAAAATTTTTGTTAACTAAAAGTCACCTGAGATCAGGGACCTTTTTGTTTGATATTATATAGCCCCAGTGCCTGCCACATAGTAAGCATTGAATAAATATTTCTTGAATAGGTAATTTCATACATAAGTGACACAAATGTTCTAGAACACTGCTACCCTATTCTAAGAACTCTTCTGCCTTCTCCCCAAGTCCCTTCCTCCCAATTTTGGTATATTTCAATGTCTACCTTTGAGGTGAAGGCCAGTGTTTTTCTCTTTCTGGTAAATTGTTATTGCTGGTGACCAGTAACATCTTGAAGTCTAAGATATACATTTGTTCTTTCAAAAAAAAAAAAAGGTTTGGCTTCACACATGCAATGCAACATTGAATATATTAAGGTATTTTTTGTCATCATTTGATAATCTATACTACAGATTTGTTTAGGAATTCTAACAACAAATAACTTGTTCTAGGAACAAAACATACTTGTTTAGTGAAGTTAGTAAAATTATTTGTGCTACTGGTCCTAAAGAGTACTCCAGTCTAGTGTGACATCACTAACAAGTTAATTTTGCTGATGACTTTGCCATGATGTCATTAGCTGTTGGTGTTTGTTTGATATTTGGAAGACTGATAGGAAAAATGTACAAGAATTTTTCTTTTTTAAAAGAACTGTGTACCTAAACCTTTATTAAACTTTGAGGGTCCAAATTTGTTTGATAAAGTCTTAACCTTACTCAGTTTTATAGCAGTAGTTAACATAAAGTGCCAACAAGGTCTTGATGCATGTTTGACTTTTAAGGGATTATTACTTTCAGAATTTTCTAAATAAGTAGAAGTTAGTAAACAGTCATTTGATTTTTCTTTCATTGTAACTGTGTCATGATAACCTTTTTTAATAAAATTATAAATTGATACCAGGACACACGGTCTCCTAAAAAAGAAAAAAAAATTATAAATTGATGTAATAAACTAGGAAAGGGTCCTGGGTTCCTAACTTGAATGATAGGGAGACTTCCCTGAAAGTTTAAATTTTGGCATAGCTAGATGGATTTTGGGAGGTCCCTTATACCTATCAATTATGTAGAAGGTAGCTATTCTGTGATGTTCAGGACCTGTTCTTTTTTTTTTTTTTTTTCCTGAGACAGAGTCTCACTCTTGCCCTTGGCTAAAGTGCCGTGGCCTCAGGCTAGCTCACTGCAACCTCAAATTCCTAGGCTCAAGTGATCCGCCTACCTCAGCCTCCCGAATATCTGGGACTACAGGCATGTGCCACTGTGCCCAGCTGATTTTTTTCTCTATATATTTTTAGTTGTCCAGCTGATTTCTTTCTATTTTTTTTTTTAAGCAGAGACGGGGTCTCTGTCTTGCTCAGGCTGGTCTCGAACTCCTGAGCTCAAGCAATCCTCCTGCCTCGGCCTCCCAGAGTGTTGGGGATTACAGGCATGAGCCCCCGAGCCCTGCCAGGACCTATTCTCTTTATTGTGTATTTAGGTTTTGACTCTAGGGTTTATTATATATCAAGTTATTCCTGGGGTTACTGTTTAGAATTATGTTTCTATGCATAATGATTATGCTGGTTCTGAAGTACAGGTGAATTGTAAAGGCAGGTGAATTTAAATTTTACTTTGTGGTTTTTTTTTTTTTTTTTTGAGACAGAGTCTTGCTTTGTTGTCCAGGCTAGAGTGAGTGCCGTGGCGTCAGCCTAGCTCACAGCAACCTCAAACTCCTGGGCTCAAGCAATCCTTCTGCCTCAGCCTCCCAAGTAGCTGGGACTACAGGCATGTGCACCATGCCCGGCTAATTTTTCTCTATAATATTAGTTGGCCAATTTATTTCTTTCTATTTATAGTAGAGACAGGGTCTCGCTCTTGCTCAGGCTGGTTTCGAACTCCTGACCTTGAGCAATCAATCCACCTGCCTTGACCTCCCAGAGAGCTAGGATTACAGGCGTGAGCCACTGCCCCCAGCCTGTGGTTTATTATTTTAAGAAGTTTTTATATCTATTTCTGACTCCTTAGTATAAAAATACAAATAGAAATTTGGAATAAAGCTCAAACTTTAAAAATACCATTTATTCCTTTCTTGCATGCATAAATGATAGATATAGCATAGATTTTTTTTTCTGCTTTTACTTATTCTAGCAAACATTTTAAGCATTATTAGATTTTAAAATTTACTGAAATTTAGAACATATACAGATAACCTCTTGCCATGTAGTATCCAGACTTTAACTTTTATTTAAATCATATAATAGGTGATTATTGCTAGTTAAATGTTGGGAATTTGTGCAGTTAATGGTGGTGATAAAAAATGCCCATAGTTAAGTAGTATAGCAGAGAATGTAATGTAAACAGATTCATCTCTAATTTTTAAATTTTTCTTGTAACCTATGTCATTGGGTGATACTGTGTGTTCAAACCCTAATAGTTTATTCATTTCTAGATAATATTTTTTTTGCCTCTTAAAAAAAAAAAAACTTGGAAAATGGAAATGTCTTTATCAAATCCTGCTATTTATAGGTGGGAACTCCCTGATCTATTTTTGTCATTAGGTTGGTCTAGGTTAGCACTTTATACTGTTTTTATAAAAATCAATCATAAGTGTGATACTAAGCTCTTCTGATTGATACTGAGTTACTCTGGAAACTATTTATATGGAATATTGTATTCCATATGGAATTCTGATATGGAATGGAACTATGTTATTAATATTGAATGTAGCAAATTACTATAATTAGTTAATGATACCTGATCTAAATAAAGCTAAGCAATTAAAAGATTTTAAGTAGAAGAAAGTAAACATAGTAGTCTCAAAAGATAATAGGACCCACACAGTTATGTGGGTAACTTTAAAGAAAGAACATGCAGTTAGGAGGTAGTTGTAATAGTCCAGGCAAAAGATGATAATAGGACCTTGAACCAAAATACTGGTTCTAGAAAAATGGAAAAATAATCAAGCAGTATTTAGATGGTAGAATTCAACAAGATTTGTTGACAGATACCATAGGGAAAAAACTTAGAGTGGCTCCTTTTTGCTTGTATCTGTAGGGTTGCTGGGGAAGTATAGAATTTGTACATCTTGAGGTTAGCTAGGGGAGATAGCCTATAGACAGAAATAAAGGTATTAAGTTATGAGAGAGATGAGTGGATTAAAGAATAAGAAGTCTTCATTGTAAGTGGGCATAGATGAAATGGCCCAGAAGCAAAAAAAAGGTGGGAGGCAGGGATAAAATGGGTCACATCTACATGTAAGAGATGGTTAGGAGCCTTTGGCAGCATACAGTAGGAAGAAAATCAAAAGTACTGTTACAAAAGCCAACTGAGGTTTCAAAGTTCTTTGTGCAGCTTTGGATGCTGCAGGAAAATGAGATCACCTTTTTCCTGACATTAGTAAGTATTTGCTAGACATAGTTTTCTAAGTGCTTTACACATGAATTTTTTTTTTTTTTGATGGGGTGACCAGGTAGGCATGTTAGACTGTTACCCCACATATTAATTCCTAAATGGTTATACCCACTTAACAAAAATGAGGAAGTTGAGGCAGAAAAGGTTTTGTAACTTGCCCAGATTACATTGCTAGTAACGTATGGTTACTTGATGGATTTAGGTCTTTGTTGGACTTGGCATTTTCAGCTGTTGAGTTGGAGCTGTAAGTTTAGTATAGATTGATAAGAGAGAGGAAATTGATGTAAGATGCCTTTCAAAATTTCGGGAGGAATAAGGACAAGCACTTAAAATATAACTAAGGTTTGAAGTTAGTTTTAGGCTAAGAGATGTAAAGATATTTATATGTTAATGGCAAAATCTGCGGATGACTAGTTGAGTCCAGAGAAGAGGTAGTATGATGGAGTTAAACTAGAAGGTATAAGCATTGGAGCAGGGATAGACAGGCAGAAAATAAATGGCCTTGGACTGTAAGAGAAGGTACACTATTTCTTAAACATGTATCACATATACATTTTCAAATGTATAGATATATTTTGAGGATGCTTAATGGCCTGATGAACTTTGAAACTGCTTTTGTATTTGCTTGCTGATAGGGTCTAAATATCTTTTAGCCCCGGGCCATGGCCCAATACCTGTCTGTGGCCTGTTAGGAACCAGGCCACACATCACCACTTGATCTCTACCTCCTCACCCCCACACCTGTTCATAGAGAAATTGTCTTCTATGAAACTGTGAAACTTAGGAACAAGGCTGCACAGCAGGAGGTGAGCTGCGTTGAGGGAAGCTTCAGCTGTATTTACAGCCGCTTACTATGGCTCACATCACTACTTGAGCTTTGCCTCCCCACCTGTGGAAAAATTGTCTTCAGGAAAGTGGTCCTTAATGCCAAAAAGGTTGGGAACTGCTGTTTTAGAAAATGTCTTACTCAGAAAGTACTAGCTTTGTTATTAAGTCATTGGTATGACTTTGCAGTACCAAATTTTGTCTTTTAGTTTCTCTATTTGTAAAATAAATGGTGAAGCCGGGTAGTCTGGAGGTGTCGCTCCAGCAGCTTTCCATGTAATCCAGTGGTAAATTGATTAGAAGCAACATAATTTTATAAGAAGATCTTAAGGAATAATATATTTCACTCTACATGGTTGGAGTTTTATATTCTAAAGAAAAATGTAAATTATTATTTTGTTCTCAATGATAGAGTATTTAGCTAACCTGGACATTAGTGTCTTGATTGGCCCATTGGTAACACATCATTATAGATTATTTAGTGATTCTGCCTTCTGGGAAAGGAAACTGACCTATTGCATATTGTTCTGAATTTTAAAGTTTTTTTGTTTTTAATTTAGCAGATGATTGATTTAGACATAATTTTAACTTTTGAGGGTAACTCTAAATGTACTGTGCATATAAACAGTATAATTACTCCTACAGATATGTATTTGGTACTGATAAGTCTTATACTGTGAGTGTGGGTTAGATCCATGGTTTTGAATTATGTTCCGCAGAGCACCTTCAGTGACCAGTAGAGAAGCCAGTCATTTGGAGATTTAGTTCTTTTCCTCTTTCAACCTAGAATAATTTTACTTTTATCTGGTTTAGATATTAGAGTTTTCTGTGAAATTTTAAATAAAAAACTTCCTAATAGATTGATAGAAGAATGTACTGGTATGATTGGCCGAAGATGTTTAAAATAATTTTCACAAATTTTTCCCACTTTTTTGGAATCAAAATTCCATTTCAAGTGTTATCTCTATATATCTTAGTTTTAAGAGTTAATATATTCCGTTTAGGAGGTTACTTTTGATTGCTAACATGTAGATTTGGATTGTGGTCTTTCTAACAGAATTCAAAGAAGCTTTTTCACTATTTGACAAGGATGGTGATGGAACTATAACAACAAAGGAATTGGGAACTGTGATGAGGTCTCTTGGGCAGAATCCCACAGAAGCAGAGTTACAGGACATGATCAATGAAGTAGATGCTGATGGTAAGTCTTCTTAATTTGGGGGGATGGGAGAGGGTTGAAGTGGCATTTTATGTTTCAACTAAAACCATTTCAGGTAATGGAACGATTGACTTCCCTGAATTTCTGACCATGATGGCAAGAAAAATGAAAGACACAGACAGTGAAGAAGAAATTAGAGAAGCATTCCGTGTGTTTGACAAGGTAGGTATTCAAGGACTGGATATGTTAGATTTTAATTTGAGAATGAAATGAAGATGTTAGGACCCCTTATCAAGACTTTTTTTTAATGATTTACCAATATACTTCCGATACCAAGCAGAAGTTTTTAGGAATTCAGTATAAACTTAGATTTTCTAATAACATAGGTATTGTGTTAATCTATCTTGTGGCAAAAGAGGCATTACTTGACTTTGGAAGTAGGAAATAGTGATTTCAATAGAGGACATCCTGCTTTGTTCTTAGTTGACATCTAATTTGAAGGTCAGCCATTTGTAGATATAGTTTGTATGGCTTTCTAAAGTATATTTCACCCTAATGTGAAATTTAGTAAACTTATTAAATTTCTATTTCAACTCAAGGCTATAAATTTACTCAGAAACTATAAATTTTTTTCTAGGATGGCAATGGCTATATTAGTGCAGCAGAGCTTCGCCATGTGATGACAAACCTTGGAGAGAAGTTAACAGATGAAGAGGTTGATGAAATGATCAGGGCAGAAATGTGTATGGTCAAGGTAACTATGAGGTGTCACTCTCACTGCCTCATCTGTCGCTTAATTTTTATTAAGGTGCTTCTAATAGCTCAATTAATGATCCCCACCCACTCAAAAAAAATAGGGATGCTAAAACAGTCCTTGTATTTTTATTAACCTTTTGCTATTCGATGTTGTCTGCAGACTAGGCAATATCACTGTCTACCTGAACTTTTTGAAATATTCACTTTTTCAGGTTCCACTCCTACATCTAGAATCTGCATTTTAATAAATTCTGGGTGATTCATATTAACATTAAAGTTTGGGAAGCACTGTACAATTTTTGGAATAGTTTGGAAAGCATCAAATTTCCTGAATTTCCTAAAATGAATTAAGATGATTATTTCCTCTGAATCACTGGATTTCTTTTTTCCTAAATCGGCTTGAGCCTGAAACTGTTTCCTGTAACATTCAATTCTGAAGTATCACCTGACTGTAAGCTTTGGGATGGCCATAGCAGGAAGCAAGATGTGGAAATTAAAAGATTTCCAGTAACTTTGCTTATATTTTTTACAACATACTTGAAATTTAACATTCGCGAAGTTGAACCTAGGTTATAGCACTGCAGTTACCAATTGACCTGTAATCCAGTAACTTAAAATTCAAGTCTACACTAAAATAGAGCTAAGAATGTTTTTTTATAATAGCTTATCTAAAGCATTAATTTGGCTTATTTATTACTAACAGTGAATAATTGTGGTTTATGAAATTCAGCCTCTGTACTTCATGATAATTCTGAGGAAAGAGAAAGGGAATGGGGCTGCTCAGTGGCTCAGTAAATGTGATTGGTTTTGTCAGTTTTGGCCATTGACTCAACTTTATATGTACTTTTTCTTTTTCAGAGTTTGTACAAATGATGACAGCAAAGTGAAGACGTTGTACAGAATGTGTTAAATTTCTTGTAAAATTGTTTATTTGCCTTTTCTTTGTTTGTAACTTATCTGTAAAAGGTTTCTCCCTACTGTCAAAAAAATATGCATGTATAGTAATTAGGACTTCATTCCTCCATGTTTTCTTCCCTTATCTTACTGTCATTGTCCTGAAACCTTATTTTAGAAAATTGATCAAGTAACATGTTGCATGTGGCTTACTCTGGATATATCTAAGCCCTTCTGCACATCTAAACTTAGATGGAGTTGGTCAAATGAGGGAACATCTGGGTTATGCCTTTTTAAAAGTAGTTTCTTTAGGAACTGTCAGCATGTTGTTGTTGAAGTGTGGAGTTGTAACTCTGCGTGGACTATGGACAGTCAACAATATGTTCTTAAAAGTTGCACTATTGCAAAACGGGTGTATTTTATCCAGGTACTCGTACACTATTTTTTGTACTGCTGGTCCTGTACCAGAAACTTTTATTGTTACTTGCTTTTTAACTCTTGTTTTAGCCACTTAAAGAAAATCTGCTTATGGCACAATTTGCCTCAAATCCATTCCAAGTTGTATATTTGTTTTCCAATAAAAAAATTACAATTTACCCAACGGTTGCTCTGAATCTGAGTCATTTAATTAACTGTTAAAGTCTAATAATTTTGAGAATAAAATGAGAAGCTGGTTTTGACTTGGTATACTCTAGATAAACTTTTCTTTTGACTATTCAGGATTGTATTTAGGTTTTAAATGTGGATGCTACGTCTTTCAAAAGGTTTAAAATACTAAAAAAAACCTTTTGTAAGTGTACCTTACCATGGGAATTGGAGTAAGATGGGTGTTTAGTGTTTCCTACCTTTTCATTATACTATTCAACTTTGTCCATGTTGACTTCAGCCATGCAGTGATTTTAACGTTTGAGTGTTAAAATACAACAATCCAAATCTTGTTGGGGGAGGGTTATTTTACCTCTGTTTCCTAATCTTTTCGTTCATTGTACTTTTTAATTCTACCATTAAGATTCTGAAGGAGAATTTTTAGTTGCTCTTGCCTATTTGCAATGTGATTTTACAAAAAGATGTCCTTAGGAGTATATTGGCAGTAACTATACCTTGTTTTAGTTTTTGCTTGCTTATACCATTGATTTCTCTATAATTTAAGCTATTCCAAAGGTGGTTATTAGGGCTTTTGTTTAACTACCAATGAAATACTTAATGAAAGATTCCATAGCAAACCAGAGCCAAGATTAAAACATTGAGTTTGTTACCTGGTTATTATAGCCACAAGATTTTTATTTTCCCAAGGGGCAATTCATTCTTTGGCAGTTTACTGCCCCATCTTTGATTATTTCAATACTACTTTATTAGTTCTACTAGAAAATGAAAAATGATAGTTAGTGAAGGAAAGTGATGAGTATGTTTTACATAGCTCAAGGGAAGTTACAGGCATTGATAGTCCTAATGAAGGTGTTACAATATCACATTAGGTGATCAATTAAGTAGGAAGGTTGTAGATGTGTATTCTACTCAGGGGCCCCTTTGTTAGATGTATTAAGATGGCTCATGCCTGTAATCCTAGCACTCTGGGAGGCCGAGGCGGGTGGATTGCTTGAGGTCAGGAGTTCGAAACCAGCCTGAACAAGAGTGAGACCCTGTCTCTACTATAAATAGGAAGAAATTAATTGGCCAATTAATATATATATAAAAAATTAGCCAGGCATGGTGGCACGTGCCTGTAGTCCCAGCTACTTGGGAGGCTGAGGCAGTAGGATCACTTGAGCCCGAGAGTTTGAGGTTGCTGTGAGCTAGGCTGATGCCAGGGCACTCACTGTAGCCTGGGCAATAAAGTGAGACTGTCTCAAAAAAATAAAGAGTTTAATCAAAGAAATCTAAACAAGGTATTTGGGTGGGATAAGTCATGTTTCTGGCCATTGAAGTATTTTCTCCAGGTTGATAAAGTAAGCATGGACTTTGTAGTTTTATTGTAGCAGTGTTTTAAGTTCACTGTTGTGTGTGGCCTTGAAGAGCTCCATTATCCAAACCCCAATTATGTTAACTGTAAAATGGGTATAAATTTGGAGGGCTTTTTAAAAGTTCAGTGAAATAATGAAAGTAAAGCACTTAACATAGTCCTTGGCATTTTGTGTTAAGTGCTTAGTCAACGTTATCATGCTGTTAAACTGGTTATGACCCTGTGAAAGAGGGAGTTGGGCAGTTAGTTTTGGTGTTTTTCAAATTTTAACAGTTTGAAGTTTATGTCCAGTTATGGATAACAGATAACAAGGTGAAGGGGAAACATTTTTGGACTCCTGGTGATTTTATATTCATGAAACCTTTATAAAAGTCACAGTGTAGGCATTATCTTTATTTTTACAGGAAGTTGAAATACAGAACAGGTAGATAATTTAACTGGTCATACTAAGCTGGGTTCAAATCTCAGTGGCAGTGTGTTCTACAATATAATCACGTTTGAACCCAGGACTGATTTTAAAATACCACCTTCAAGTCTTAACCATATTATTACTTTTTTTAATATTAGGGTTGTGGTAATTGATCATTCTTTCCTTAATGTATCTGTTGTGTTTGCTCTCAGGCAATTCTACCAATAAACCAGTGATAAACCAATCACTATTCCAGTTAAATATCCTCAGTATAATGTATTTTCCCCAAATTTTTAGAAGTATAAAAATTTTATTTTTTTTTTTTTGGAACATCACAGAACTGAAAGTATAAAAATTTTAAAGATTTGACACATAGCTTCATTGTCGAACTTTATTCTTGTATTCTCAAAGAGAAATGCCTCTCCCCCCTTATAAAACTGTTATGTTAACCTGAAAATAAGTCTTAGTGATACTGTTAAAGACTTAAGAGGACATTTTCTTTGTTTATCCTAGGTGTTTAATCTGTTTTATGGGTAGAGTCCTTGAAATCTCTGACCCATGCTGTTTCTATTTTTGAGATACTTAAAACTATTTTCTCATCTAGATGTTCCTGTCTCTTCAATTTTGTACCTTGTGTGGGTTTCTGGACTTCTTTGTACCTTTCATATTCTTTTAGTCTCTAGAGTACCAGTCCCTAGTCTGCTGAGCTAGTTTTATAGGCTCAGCCAAAATAAGAAAATGAAATGAGACAGGGTAATGGACTTGATTAATCTTATATTTGTGAGAACTCTGGTGTTAAACTTGCCTCTTAGTCTTCTAATTTCAATTCTTCATTTTAAACCTAGCGCCTGGTCCTTCTAAATGAATTTAGAATTCCAGTATTTTAAGAGTAATTAACTTTGGAGTTCTCTATTCTCTTGCTACTCAAAAAGTCACCTGCAGAATCACCTGAGATCTTGCTAGAAATGCAGAATCTTAGGCCCTGTCCCAGAATTGGAATCAGTCTGCATTTTAATAAGATCACCAGATGTTTTGTATGCATGTCCATTTTTGAAAAGGACTGCTGTAATCCAATTCTGTGGTTTACTTAAGAGAAAACTAGTCATTTACTCAAATGTTTTAAAGTTTCATGTTCAAAGGATTCAGAATTAAAAACCCATGTTTTGAGTCCAACAAAAATAGGCACAGGATCTTTTGAGACATGATGGGTTAGGCCTAGGAGGACTACTCAGAGGAGTTGACCCCTGAGATTTTCCAGGTGATCAAAGAAAAATAGCATTTCATGCAGAAGGACTAACAAATGTTGAGATTATAGAAGTGTGAAGATGCCATATTTGGGGTTTGCAAGTATACAGCAGAACATGAAATCCTAATGAGGGAGAGAAGAGGTGAAAGATTGTATTGTAAACGTTGCTTTTGTCTTAAGGGTAATGAACTACAGCTCACACTGAATGAACTGCATTACAAACATTTAACTCGTTAATTTTCAATAATAACCCTATTCGGGTAGGTACTGATTTATTATGCCTTTTAGACAGGAAAATAAACAATAAAATCATAGCAAATGGAGCCAGCATTCAAATCCTGGTAGTCAAGGTGGGGGGGGGTAGGGATTAAAAAATGAGGGAGTAATCAATGCAGCAATGAAAATTGAAGGCCACATTTGATAAGAGCTGAAAATCCCTGTTGGATTTGGCAATTGGATCACTTTTGAATTTAGGAAGTGTAATTTTTTTTTTTTATTGTCTTCATTTTTTTCTCTTTTCAGCATATTATGGGGGAAGTGCAATTTTAATTGAGATGTCAGATTAAGATGGTTTTAGGAAAATATGGGAAGTGAGAAAAGAATTGAGTCTACATTACTCTTCACAGTTTGTGAAGGAAAGCAGAAACTTAATGGTGTAGCAGGCAGTGGGGCTTGAGTCAGATCTGGGTTTGAATTCTGGCTCTGTGACTTCTGAGTGATGCTGAATCATTTTTGCTAAGCCGTCCAAGGAAGCCTTTTGGATGTTTCCTCATCCAAAAAATTTTGCAGGGTGGTTGTGAGGATTAAATAAAATTAATAGGTATGTGAAGTCCCTGGAACACAATAGGTTAAATGAAATGAAGGTTGAGGGAGGGTTTGATTTTCAAGATGAGAATGTTTTCTAGGTTGAGAAGAAACTTTAGCCAAGGGTCTATGGGGTGGTCCGTGGTTTCACAGCTAGTGAAACCTGTGTCTAGTTTTCACTCAGCTTCTCAAGTGAGAGGCAAGAGAAGTCATAGCTCCCAGAATTTCTATTTGGGGGAGCTTTTTGCCTTAAGGCATAGTATGCCTATCAAGCATTCTGTCTCCCTGTCTAGGGTGTGGGTTTGGGGGTGAGTTGGGATGAAGCTGATAGAGATTGTGGGTACACTTAAGCCCTTAACAAGCCTCTTTGACGCAGATACTCAAGGGCTCTACAGCAACTCCACAGCCCTCTAGATTTTCTTGTCTCACGTGTGCGTGCCAGGCCCTTTTCGAGACACTTCCTCTGTGCCAGGCTTAGGGCTGGCCCTCAAAGTGTATGCCCGCTTCCCTTCCCCCACCAGAAGACAGACCTGGCGGGTCCCCTGCGCACGCTCGGGAGCCCGCGGGCCAGAGGCGCCTCCTAGCAACCGGACGCCT